TCCTTTTTTTTTTTTTTTTTTTTTTTTATTACTACAAATGCTCCAGTCTATTCATGGTGAGCAACACGTGCTGGGAACCAGGCCCAGCGTCCCATATAGAATTATACAAATGATTTGAAATACCAGGGGCATTACCTGACTTCGACTAAGAAGAATCTGAGAACTATGAAGAAGATTATAAAAAATTTAGGAAAAACATGGATAACTGCTGACCTATTGCTAGGCTAACTTGGAAACATATGAGAGCGGGGGGTCAAAACTGAAACTTCCTACTCTCCAAAACTCCCCCCCTCAACAGACGGAACATCGGTCTAGGCTTTTTGGCCTCATACCAGAACTCACTTGATCTTCATACTCCCTTCTGCTAGGGTAACAGGGCACCACAACCTTGCCCAGTACTGACCAACCTAGTTCTGACGGACAGGAAGTGCCTTCCTCCCTCGACATTTCCCTTAGCGGCAAGCCCCTGACACAGGTTACAGGGTTAATACCCTGGCGCCGTCAATGTCGAATGGTCTGGTTACGCCTTCCACCCTCGGCATAACTCCATAGGTCTCAAGCTCCCCCTAGGTCAAAAAGCAAAAGCTCTAGCACCGTCCTGTGTCGTCCCAGCATCGTCCTTCTAACCTTCTAACCTTAACACACAACCTTCCCCTGTTGAGATCCTCCTTACTACCTTCCATCCTCTTGTTCTAGCTCCCCCCTTCCCTCCTTTTTTGAGATATCAGGGTCATTACCTGGCTTCGGCTAAGAGCAAACAACTCAGAACCCTTAAACAACTTAGAACCCCCCAACAATCCTCTTTACCTCACTCCGGCAAGACTTACTGCAGCAGAGCCACTATCTCCACTACTGCTGTGCCCTATTTCCATCCTATGAGCTAGCCCCCTCGCTAGTAGGACGCCTGATATCCCACCATCTCCTTCTCCCACTCACCTCTCTCAATAACATGTTGAAAATCAGGAAATCAGAAGATTGAGAAAACCCTATATACGTTTCAGCGCCTACGATTTCCACAAGAAGAGGGAAAGGGAGGGAAAAAAACACCCTCTCTCCCCATGGAAACTCCAGCACCTATTCTAATCTCGATTGCATGTACAAGGCTCACAAGAACCAAAATGGATTACTCCTCTCCCTAAAAAAACGACCCCCTGTCTGATACTGCCTCCGCGGGAAAGCGCCCCCTCGCCTCGCAGCCCCAGTTCAGAACAGCCCCCTGAATACCACTCCTGCTCCCTCAGCTGCACACAGTACACCCTAAAGTATGCCCCGCAGAGCCGAAGATCCCCCTTCCCTCCTGCACCCCCCCCCCCAAGTGAAACAATCCTACAGCATCTCACCATGCTGACATCAGCACCCCTTGTCCTCCCTCCCCAACCGCGATAGTTGATCCGACCTAAAAGCCAGCGTGGCCCAGAAGAGGACAAACCCTCAACACCACCCCTCCCGCTCAAAGCTCACACCACCCACCTTGTGTAACCCTCACATGGAGGGGCTCCAACCCTCAAGGAGATGCTTCCATTCATATTTAATAGCCCAAAACAAGTAAAATGATTATTGAGACATCACAACTCGGTCTGTTTTTCGAAAACTCGTTGTCGGCGCGAATACCCTTACAAGCGTATCCGCCTTGGTTTTTGCAAGCGACAGAAAATAGTGTGGTTTAAAGTTAAGTATACCGCGCTGGGCGCGGCTGCGTTTGAGACTTACGTTGACAGGATGGTTGACTAGAGTAAAGAGTGCGTGGGCGCTCAGGGTTAAGGCGCTCGTGATTTATCTCCTGATGTTGATTACGAAACTGGCACGGGCGCCGGTCTGTTTATTTTTATTTTTTATTGTTAAATTTTTATTTATTGTTACTCTTGATTAAACTAGGATTTAGGGGATGCTTTTTTTTTTATGGCTACGTTTGACCGAGTCGAGCGAGGGTGCGGAGAACGACCTCGACGACGGCATCGGCAACGATGGCGCGACTTCGTGCGGTGAGCGGGGTGTCGTAGGATGGCGCGCGGGGCAATTGTGGCACGGTATAAGCAAGCCGGCGTGGACACTGGGGGCCACGCAGCCGGTTTGTTGGCCCAAAGCGCCGCGCCGCACTGCGTTATATGGTATTCCGTGCGCATAGGTCGAAGGCTTGGGCTCAACCCTATAGGTTATGATATTGGACTTATGACGCGGAGGTTCAAGGATCGACGCCAACAAACGACAGCGCGAGGCCAGCGGAGCAGCGTGGAGCCAAACCAGAGGGGTTGAGGGACCGACGGGGCTATCCCCCTCGGTTTTGTTAGTGGGCGCGGCGGTCGGCCTGATCCGTGGGGTTGGCGAGGTGCCAGCAGCCCCGCGGCTCCCCGACGTTTGCTGTTATTTTATTTTATGTCCTTTCTGTTTATTGCTCTTGGTCCCTTTGTTACCGCGGCCCGTTTTGGGGCGCGAGACTGCGGTAGGAGCGCGTGGAGGGGGCATTGTATTCGCGGGTCGCCTGAGGTTCGGCCATGAACTATTGTCGCAATCACGCCAAAGCTACCCCCTTGTAGTACTGTGGGGAACCCCTTAGCAGCCACATTCGTGCCCTCTGTGGTTTGCAACCCGTGTGTGACCGGGCGGGGTACTATTTTAGCAAACGTGGGGGAGAAAACTTTGCAGGGTTGCTAGATTGCCACCGCTGTGTGGGTCCGCCCGGCCGGAGTCGGGTAGGGCGAAGCAGACTGTGGGGGCGGATAGGGGTAAGTGAAAGAGGGACGGACGAACCAGGACGCGAACGCGCGTAGGGAGCATGAATGCCAGGAAAGGACCGAGTGGCTTTGGGGGGAGCTGCGGGGCATTGCCCCGGACAAGTCCTTCGGGACATCTGTTAAACTTGGAACGATACAAGGAAGATTAGTATGATCCCTGTGCGAGGATAACACGCATAAATCGGGGACAGCCTGAGTTTTTCGTCATTGTTGTTGTTACCTTCCGTTGTGCGCTGCGGTCGCACTGATGAGGGACAGCGATCCGTGGAGAGCGGTGAGCGTTGTGGAGCAGAGCGAGGCCGCGAGGGGATTCGTCGGGAGTAGGATCATGGCCGCACCGAGTCGGGCAAACGCGTGCCAAGCTCGGGTATAGGGGCGTAGGACAGTTTGAGTCGGCCAACAGTTGGTTATTCTGAAGTTCTCCCTCAGGATGCGTGAGGTGGGTAGGAAGGACGAGCTGCGCCAGGCCCCAGCAGGTAGCACGCGCGGAGCAAACGGGAGTGCGTGGCTGAAGTGAGGGAGAGATGAACCTGGGCGGAAAACTGCGCCGGGTGCATTTCGAGGAGTGGAAGGTGGAAAGACAGGCTTGGGCGCAGCAAGGAGAGGAACGACGGGTGTGGGGGCTGTGGAACGCAGCAAAGTGCAGGCAGCGAGGCAACGGGGAAGCCAGGTTACCGGTAGCGCAAGGGAGGAAAGGAAATAAAGGGAGTGAACCCGGACAGAGAATGGCGCCGGGTGCATGTAAATAAGAGGAGGGACGACGGAGAAGGCAATGAGTTAGTATCTGCTCGTATAAAAGGCGATGTCGGTGGGAGAAGTTGCTAACCGGGGGTTTTGCGGTAAGCGACATCAGATATAGCGTTAGTTTTAGGAATGAGTTCGCAAAACAGAGGTTACTGAAGAAGACGGTGCGTGGAGCTATGGCGGGAGTGGTGAAGGGAAAAGGGGGAAAGCGAGTATCTCGCTCGTTTTCGAACGGAATTGAGCAAGGGAAGGACCGTCTCGGGGGTTCTAAGGCCGGGCGAGCATGATAGCGGTGTCAGTTTTAGAAGTGAGTGAGTAGAATTAGTGTTAGAAAAGGAAAGACCTGCGCGGGAGATGGCGGAGACGAGGAATGGAGGAGTAAGATTTCACTCGATTCGTGAGGGAATCGAGCGAAAAAGGGAGTCAGGTAGAGGTTTTCAAGGTGGGCGGTTCTGGATTTATAGTTAGTTTGAGTATTGGATTAGTTAATAAGAAGTTAGTAAGAAAATGGGCTGCGCCAAGGGGAAGGCCTTAAAAGGGTGATGAATCTATCTGCGTTTCAGCGGAAGATTCATTCCCACTTTTTTCCGTTTTCTTTTTTTTTGTCTCTTTCCCTTTTCTTTCTTTTCGTAGTTGTTTGTACGGGGTATGGTCCTCTGCAGTAAGCGACATAGAGAGAGGGAGAGAGAGAGAGGGATGTCACCTATCTGGTCGGGTTGTGCCTGTAGGAGGACGGGCGCTGCAGGGGGGGCAACACCGGTGGAAGGATGTTCTCATGGTCTGGCGGTAGATCCGATTCCGGTGTGTTATCGAAAGGGGGCGGGCAGCTACGGATTGGAGGATTACCCGTTGGCCATCACTTTACCCACCCACCGATGAAAGAAGCCATTATTCACCTGTCAACTGGCCGGAGCGCGCGGGGACAGGCAGTTCCCGGCCAAAGTGAGCGGGGGCAAGCCCCTCGCTGCCAAAACTAGCGGTGGGACTGTCTGCGGGTGTATTGCCCGAGGGGCGACCACCGTTGGGAGCAGAATTGCGCTGAACGTAGACTGTGTTGGTTGCAGTTGCTGATGGCTCACTCAAGTTCTACACGCCCCAGCCGACTGAATGAGCGGTAGGGGCAACAAGCTGGGCTGGTGGCCAAGGCATGGCCCGTCCTAGCAATAGGGATGCGAGACAGTCAGAAAGAAGACGCGCAGAACAACGGGAGGACCGGGAGGTGCGTGTGCCAGGAAGAAAGAGAGGGCGTACCTAGTGAGATGGTAAAGTTGTCGTTGGCCAATGCATTACGGGCCAATGAGCACAATGTTGTGGTTTGATTCGCCAGGAGAGTATGATCCAGCGGGTAGACGTCGATTTGACTGGCAGCTTGGAGTGGTGATCAGGCTCCACAAGGGAAGCTGTTGTTGGTGATTGTCGTGGAGGCCGGAGGCATACGGCTGCGACTGCTGCTGCTGTAACCACTGCTGAGTGTGAGCGGACTGTGCACCGCTGCTGCAGTTGTTGACCAGGCACAGGTTGTTGCTGCGTAATACTACTGGTTGCCGCTGTGTACTATTGCTGTTGTCAATGATGACAGTGCACGGGCCATCGCCTGCGGACTGGTTGCTGGATGCTGTGCACTTTTTGGCCGACGAGGCTGCTGCGTACTTCGGTTGTTGCTGGCCGCACGGGCTGTTGGTGCATTGTTGACTAGAGGAGTGAAAACTCCAAAGGGTGCAGGAGCTCGGCTGTGTTTTAAGGTGGTGGGAGACGACGGTAGGCGGCGGGGTTTTATAGGGAAGGGCCGCTACTAAGGATTGAAGGGTCGCCGGGATGATTGGGTTCGGTGGTTTGACTTCAAAGTTGGTCAGGCGGGTACGTTGGCCGCCATTGCGGGGCCCTCAGGCGTTGAAGGTACCAAGGCCCTCTCCTGCGAGTCTGAGAGCACCCTCCTTGGATCTGAGAGTCTGAAGCCTTCTCTCCCTATCTTTCTTACTCTAAGTCTAGTCTGTTGGTTCTGAGAGGAAGGCGGCAGGCGGGATTGCAACCCGTAATCCGCGCCAAGGCCTCTGTTGGAGGTTCTCCCCACCGACTGCGGGAGCTCTGCCGGGACTCAGGAGGAGTCCTGGAGGCAGGGAATTGTACGGTAATCCTACTTTTTCCCTTTATACACCTGGATTATACCCCCTACCTTTACACCTTTCTACGTTTGGCTGGTTATGTTGTATGTCCCATGTACTTTGACTTTGGTTTNTTTCCCTTTATACACCTGGATTATACCCCCTACCTTTACACCTTTCTACGTTTGGCTGGTTATGTTGTATGTCCCATGTACTTTGACTTTGGTTTGGCTTTCGGGATCTGAACTCAGATAAAGTAAAAGAATGTGTGTGCAATCTCAGTTTCAGTTTTGTTGAGTGTCTGAAAGTAAATTGTTAAAAGAATTGCATCTGGGGAAAGGCGGGATGGAGGGTTGGTTTGTATGATGGTTGACTGGGTCATTAAGGCTGGGAGGTCCCCATAAGTTTGGGGAGACTCAGTGCTTTGTTTATTTTKGTTTGCATGGAGCGTCAGACCATTCTATAAGTTTAGGGGGTYTGATYACTCTGGAGGYTGGGATGTCCTCATAAGTTTGGGGAGACCCAGCGCTATGGTTTGCATGGAGGGTCAGACTGTTCTGTAAGTTCAGGTGGCCTGACTGCTCTGACTTGTGAAGGGTCTGATTGTGCCTGATTTTAAGGGATTCGGGACATTCAATAAGTTTAAGTGTCTTGGGTTGCCTTGTTTTCATTGGGGTTTTATCWGTTTCTTTGGTTTCTAAATGAAGAGGTCTGAGCTGTTCTATAAGTTTAGGTGGATCAGCCTCTTCCTGCTTTTTATTCTGAAGAAGTAATCTTGGCAAAGGGCAGAACCTTCTATAAGTTCAGGGGGTCTAACTCGATGCCACACACATGATGATTTAGAGAGAAATGAAATTGGTAGAGAGCTCGATCCTTCTGTAAGTTCAGGGGATCTGGCTCAAAGCCTCGCTTATATTGGAACCCAATGGTTATAACTTGGCTATACTTAACTATTATTTTATTTAAGAACGAGCTAATCAGACTGTTCTATAAGTTTAGGTGGTCTGACTATAGCCTATCACAACTTGAAGAAAGTATAAGTAAGAATAAGATTGATGGTAAGTTGGGGTAGGTTGAACTTAAGTTAGTTCAGTCATATGCAGCCTTAGAAGACAAGGGGAAGACATGTATATATAACTTTGATATCTTAAACAATTCAGGGCGACCTGAATGGTCTAGTCATGTGTCCAAAGAAGAGAGAAGTAGTTGTGCCCTCTGTTTGTGTATACTCTTTGCAAGTTAGGCTCATTCCATAAGTTAGGGTGACCTGACCTTATGCCTTATGTAAGCAGGGTATAAGGGGTTAGGTTACTGAAAGACCATGAACTATTGTTTGTTCAGGTATACCTTGGGATGACGATAGTACTTACCTTTGTGGTTTGGTCTGCATGTGGCTGAGTGAGATGACTACCTGATCTAAGTTTCAGTTTGATAGGTAGTTGCTTTAGTCGTTCGCCACGTGCTAGAGCTATAGGGGTTAGTTTCAATTCCTGTATTTTCTAAGTTTTTTTCTACTTAGATCAATTCTCGCATTTTCAAGGATCATTTTTTTGTACTTGGCTTTGTATAAATCTATGCAAGCTACTTTCCCTACGGGAAGCGCTGCCGAAATTTCTACCAATCCAAGGAGTTAGTGAACTTTTGATTTGTCGAAGTTCAACTTATCTTTTCTTGATATCTGACCTAGTAAAAATATGGGAAGTCTCATTTTATAAAGGGAGTGCTGCCCAAATTTTTGCTAATTCAAGGAGTTAGACAAAATTGGACTTTCAGAAGTCAAAGTTAGTCTCAAATTATGAAGTTAGCCTTGTATAAATTTTGGAATAACACTTTTCTAGAGTGACTGCTGCCGAAATTTCTGCAAAACTAAGGAGTTGGTTAAATCTTGTCTAAGTTGGACTCAAGTTGTCTTTTGAGTTCATATCTAACTTAGTGTAAATCAGAGAAGTCTCCCTTTCTAAAGGGAGTGCTGCCCAAATTTTTACTAATTCAGGGAGTTAGACAAAATTTGACTTTCCAGAGTTAAAGATTATTTCTGCTTTCATGTTTGCACTTATATGAATTCTGGAAAGGAACTTTTCCTACAGGAAGCGCTGCCGAAATTTTCTTAGTTTAAGGGAGATCGATTGTATTTTGACAGGTGACAATTCTGGTAGTTCACTCTGAATAAGGGGAATTTTGCCATGAGTCTACCTTTCTTTGGACATTTGCTTAGAGGTAGCCTTAGATATAGTTAACTAGGGTGATTTGGGTAAGATCATGATATGGAGATTGTTCTCCATGGACTTATAGGGTTAGTCTGGGCATTGACCTGTCATGTGTTACATGTCCTCTTGATCGTTTGATTCAAGTTCAGGACTAGATTCAGCTTGATCCCTTGAGGATCATCGTCTGTTATCACTGATAACAGGTCGGTTGCCGATTCGTCGGTTTGCGATTCAACTCCAATCCACTTTTGTCACTCAACCTAAAGGTTTTAGCCATGTGGTTTGAATTGTTTCATTGTGTTTTTACCCGGAATTTATTGAATGGGCATTTAACAAAGATACTGTGTATTTTTATTGCGGGGAGGTTGCGCTGAGGCTGAGGTTTGCATGGTTAAAGCAAGGGGTATGAGAGCAGAGAATGGTTGAAGTTGACCCCGTGTAGTGCATTGACTTTTTGGTTGAATCTTTGATGTGATTGCAGGTATGCTTGATGATTCGGACTTGGGATTTGACTGTCTGCGCTCACATACATATATATATATATGGCTGAGAGGAGTCTCACTGTGACTGTGAGAAGTGATCGTCCTATATTAATAACCCTCTATACATATGTGTATATATATGACTTGAGTGTTTCGTGCGGCCTATTGTGACCGCGCGTAAGGGTTAAACAGATTATGTGTTTGAGAGAAAAGAGAGATCATTTTTTATCCTTGGCTTCTTAGAGATTTTATGGTTGGACGTTGTAGTCCGTGACAACCGTCAAAGTCAAACCCCTTGACTTATGTCCAGGCCTGGAGTGGGGTTCATCTCCAGGGCAGTAAGAAACGACTGTCACCACAGGTATGGACCTGTGTACCACCTACTCTGCACAGAGCGCAGAAGAGGGTGTGTGGTCTTCAACCGCGCTTGGCGGTTGTCCAACGTCGAGAGATTAACCCTCAAGGCGCATATCAGCCGACACTTGAGTGTCGAATGCGACTCTCGAGATTAACGAAGACCGCATGAGTATGGGTACTACATGGTACGTCATCATTGCGACTGCTTGCGTACGTTTGCATTGCGAGTCGATATGAGCTAGCCCTGCGTCCGCGCGGTTTTATATTAAGTCTCGCGCGCGACGCCTATCCGATTTCCGCTTCGGAGAGTTATGGGATGGCTACCGAGAGGCTAGGAGCGTTATCGCGTTGTTTGTGTTCTGTCGTCTCGTATGTGTGCGTGTGGGTGTTTTATTTTTGTGTTTTTAAAGTGGTGTGCGCGTGGTGTGTGGGATGCGTCCTAGTCGACCGACGTCGAGCCGCGCTTGGGACTTTAGCTCCCCAAGATGTCGGTTCGCGTGCGGGTCCGATAGGCATATTACCGCGAGTACCCCCTATGCTACAGCGAACGAGAAACGCCCTCGGCTGGTCCACCTCTACGATTGCAACTGATTAGCTTTCGTATTGTGGAATGGTAGCTCGGCGGGGATACGGCCACCGAAGGGAGGTGGCAGCTCCCGCAAGGTGGAGGTAGGTCGTGCCTCGGGTAGGCCCTATCCTGTCGTAGGGGTTCGCGAGAGGTATGGCTGGCGCACTCGGCCGGAGCGGCTTATGGAAGCTCCATGTATATTGCAACGAAGGATTTAAACCAACTCCTGCGTGACGCGGCCGAGAGGGTCCCGCGCTGCCCTGGTGCGGTGCCGGACTGATTCGCTCGACAGGTGGCGCCGTTGCCGGGGATAACGGTTGCCTACCGTTGTCCCTGGTGAAACGACATCCGAGTATCTGAAGTGAGAAATAAGCAAAGATGAGAAGTCTTTGGTAGACTTGTATGAGTGATTGGTTGATATTTTGACTATTGTTGGAAGTATGGGGTTTGGAGATCCTTAGAAATCGGACCTAGATGTGTGGCAGGTTGATGACTCAGACGGAATGACCGTTTCTGCTTTATTGATTGGTTTAGATGGAATGGTTGGTTGCAGACGGCATTGGATAAGGCATGAAGTGAGGGTAGATTGTGTGACTTGGTTTTGATCAAGACGACTGGGTTTTGATTAACGCGGTACGAGTGGCTCAAGAGTGATAAGTGTTTTCATTATGTGTTCACGAACCCTGACTGGCATAATGATAACTGAAGTTGATAACCCCTCTAATCAGATGACCGACAGGCTTGGACGATGCTTCGCGTGCTTGATATGACTAAGGTTAAACATGACTGTTGTGAGGGTAGGCCTTACGAAGTGCCCCTTTTTTCCTACTATAAGGGTCATCTGAGTAGGTGGAGGGTAAGGGTGAGTGAGATAGTATTCCTCTGCCAACAGCTGAAAATATAGATCCTCTCCTAAGTGTCAGGTTAGGAGTCGTCTCGGCACTTCGAGGAGAGGTGGGTTAAGGAAAGCTGAAAGATATTATGAGTATGGACTTAGATGTTTGAGTATGGGTTCTAAGTGGTTGATCAATCTATATAACCATGGAAGATAGTAGATTTGTATGACATCTTCCCTATAAAAGTGGTATTTGACCCTAGAGGCAGTAAGAGTGACAGAAAAATGGCAAACAATTAGGTCATCCCGTTTACTTTCGCTAGGACGATGGGATGTAGGTAATGTTAGACCTTCACTTGTACCTTTTCAGGTTTGGACCATACACTTGAACGTGTATGAAATATGAACTAAGGACTTGGGGCTATTTTTCTCATGGACTTTCTTTTGGGTTGTATGTTCAATTTATTCATATATGTCAGATTCTATTGTGAATAACCATGTTTTGTGTCTATCTATGTGAGGCTATATGCTTGATGTCGTTTTGTCTGATGGGTATTTCTTTTTTATATCCACATAGGTTATTTATTTGAAGTACTAGTTTGAACCTATCAATCTGCAGGGATTTATATGAGTGTCTCAAGTCCAAATATCGATTTATGACTGGCTGATGAGGTTATATGTTTGGGTTGCTCTTCAAAGAGGGTTAGAGATATTGCACAAAATCCATGTCTGATGCGGATTCATGGGTGAATGGAGTGACCGGTTCCTTGGGATGAGATATTGTCTTATGAAGTGGTCGATGTGTAAGGTCTGCCCTAAGGAAGGTTGCAATCCTATGTTATTATTCCCATGAAAGATGGCTTTGAAGAAGTTAAAGGTTCTCTTGTAAGTAGTAGTGAGACCCACGCCGAAACTATGTTCCTCGTCTATAGTGGGGTGTTGTTGTTGTATCTCTTGTGATAAAATAACTACACTACTACTGAAAAGGAGGAGAGTGTTTGGTCCTTGCTAAACTTTGGTCTATGAGGGAAGCAGCTACTATGTGCCGCAGGAAAGTAGGTGGTGAGTCCCTAACTTTTTTTGTGACAAGTGGGTTCACCGACACAGGACGGGGCTGTACCACCCCGAAGCGTGTATGGTGAGGTTGTTTACCTTGTCGACAAAGGTCTGCAAGGAACGAATGCTAGAATCGGAGGGAGCAGCAGTGAGGCTTAATCCTTGAGCGGGGCTCGGGGGTTTAAGATGTTATCCATTTTGGAAAGGGTTATACTGCCCCTCGCCACAGTATACTTTTGTCAAAGTTGGGGAGTAAAGTGTGATATTCTTGTTATTGTTATGTCTAAAAATGCTATTGGTTGGCGATTCTATCTTTAATCATGACATATCTATTATATGATATACCTGATGATATAAACTTATCACTGTGAGGTAGTTGTATATGTTTCTGGTAGTTGACTAGCCGGAGTATGATGCATTTGAGGTGTTGTTGTTGTCAACTATAAAGGTGATATATCGTTTTCCATGAGTTATTATTATTATAAAATATTTTTGATATCTGTGAATGAACAATTATTATGATATATTACCACTATAAGTTTTTATAAGTTGGATGGTCATAAATACTGGAAAGGATGAACTTAGTGAAAGATTACTTGAAGCTAAGACTTTAGTAGTTGAGAACGTAGGAGTCGATGTCAGCATGGTAACGAAAGGCGTATGCTGGACGTTTGTCTATGATGGGCAGAACCCAGACAGAGCTAAGGCAACTCAGGATGCTTTACGCTAGGAAAAATCCCAATATGGCCTTGCAAGCTGAAAGGGAAGGCGGACTCGAGGTGTCCTTGCCAAAACGGGTTAAAGAGGGGGAATATATTTCTTCATGGTGGGGCGTATAAATAGATATGGGTATCTTCGCCTGGATCGAGTCTGGTTTCGATGACAATTAGGATTGCGCGATTGTGAGGGTGACCCTATACACTCCGCCATCATTCTGGGTCTTGCATGGGATTGAGTTGGCATTGGGGCATGAGAGTCTGCTTACGAGACCCTTGAGGGTAGCTGAAGCAGCTGCAGCAAAATGGGCGAGAGAAAGAGTCCATGAAGGAGAAGAGCAAGTGGTGACCCATGTAGAGGTTAAGTGTGCTGAAGAGTTTGAACTTCCTTCAGCCCCTCTAAGAGTCATTCTGCCAAATTTCCTCGTGGAAAAGTGTTTTGGGGGACAAGAGAGGGTAGAAGCTGCAGCAGAGGCTGCATTGAGAGTGCGAGACTGGGAGTATGGGCGTTATACGTGTGAACTAGTATATGGTCTGTACTGAGACCCGAAATTCTCACCTCCTAGTCAGTGGCTCAGGCACACTACCAATATAGTTGACGTATACGCCATTTCTCATGACCCAAATGAGGAAATTGAAGATTGGGATGAGTTTCGAGTAGCAGTGGTCCATTAGGAAGGGTCTTCACCGTCTCACTAAGTGCATTTGTTCTTGGTTTGGCTATGGTCGTCCTCATGCTTAACGTAGGAGTTGCCTACAGTCAGCCGTAAGGGACCCTGCCTATATAAAGTGTACATTGCGTACAAGTATTGGAAAAGTGAGTGTAGTTGTAAGCTTGTCGTGATAGACTATGTTTCGAATGTGTAGTTCTTCTCGGGTCTCGATCCTAACCAATTGTTGTTTGTCCAACAGGAGATGGGATCGAAGGAATCCGTGATGGAAGGCCTGCGAGAGAGGGGTGGGGTCAAGGAACTCGCTTATTTGCCCGATATGCGGGATTGGGAGCGAGCGAACGCACCCAAAGTGGAGATTGGTCTCTTCAATGGTTGTCATATCTTTGACTTCCTCGATAAAGTCGAACAATTGGCGTCTCAACGCGAATGGAATGAGGAGCAGATGTTAAAGGAGGTCATAAAGTTTATCCATGTAGACATGAAGGAGGAAGTCAGTGAATTGATCGGAAAGGCAGAGTCGTCGTGGAGGAGGTTCCATAATGACATGAGGAATAAGTACCGACTGGGTGAGGAGCAGTTAACCAGGGATGATCTTGAGAAGAAGGAACGATATGATTATGCGTCGGCAAGACAATTTCTGGCAGAATGTGAGCGTGCTTCATATAAGGTTTGTGTGTTGTCGGAGCATGACAAGTGTTTTTTCTTCCTCATGCATTTTTCAGGTGCAGAGCAGCGAGACCTGATTCGGGGGACGGGAGGAAAACTTATATGGGACAAGATATGGAGAAACTTTGTAAAAGGAGATTTTGATCAGGGTCTCTGCTATATTCTGCGCGAGGCGAGGGAAAGAAAGAAATGGAGGGATTGCGAGAAGAGAGATGAAGGCAAAAGGGTAGTTGAGGAAGAAGAGGAGTATGAGTCTCCCTGGTCATAAGAGGCTCGGTCGGCAGGGCCATCTTCTTTCCCTGCGCGACAAGAGTCACAAGGAAGTGTGGTGGGAAAAGAAAGTTGGATGGGGCGCAGAAAGAAGAGAATGCGAGATCGGTGGTCGAAGGTAGTATGTGATTTTTGTGGGGAGGTCGGCCATTCACCTCGCAGATGTAAGAAAGCGAGACAAGCCCGAAGAGAAGAAAAGGAGAGGGGCGATAGGGAAAGGAGTGCGACCGGCCCGATATAGTCTAAACTCAATTGAAGGTAGAGGTGTTGAGCCCAAGTGACTTGGACAGTGGGAGTTGATTGTGGGAGGGGGAAAACGGATTGGAGAGGAACCCTCGCCATAATGGTCCAGTAACATGAGTTGTAGATAGGAGTAAAAGCTCAATCATATGGGTGAGGCCAGGAGGTAATGAGTAAGTGGGGACTGGTTCGCCTATACGTCAGTAGGATCAAGGTTTTCTGTATGTAGAGACTGAGCTAGATATCTACATACCTAGGCGTAGTCACTACTAGCTTGTCCACCTGTACATAGGTAAGTTGTAGTATTGGACGAATCTTTTGTTCCTTCTTGTGGTGTGATTCATGTGATTTTATCCAGATGTGTGATATATTGGCGTGTACAGTTGGGATAAAATTGCGTGACTTGAGCTTTTGTGTATGTTTGGGCATACTCCGAGGTACTCGCGTGCTCGAGACGTGGGTTACTCAGCAGAGTGGGACGTGAGGGCTGGGTACTTATGTCGTTTTGAAAGAGACATCTTGTCCTGGTGAACATATTAAGTTGAAACCTTATGAGAATTTGTTTTTGTGACAATCACTATCACTCTCACTTATGTGGTTTTGTCCTGATGAATGTTGGCTTTGTGTGAAAGATGTGCGAATATGTGACGTGTAAAGCTGCCTACTCCTCGGTATACTCGTGCGACCTGCCCTCGGGCAGCTGATAGGGCAAAGAATAAGGGGAGGAAGTGCGCCCTGTCTGTGAAAAGTTGTGAGGATTCTTTGAAGATTTATGAGTCTCTGAGACTCGAAGGCTTCACCATGCCGGTTGTTAATTGCTTAAGTGTGACGAGGACCCATAAGATGGTCTTTCAATGATGTTTTGTCTTATGAAGAGACCCCTTGGATTTTGGAGAAGGGGGATGTTTTGTGATGTTTTGTGTTGTAGCGAGACCCCACGTGATTTTGAGAGAGGGGGTGTTTTGTTCTGTGACGAGACCCCTCGTGATTTTGGGAGAGGAGGTATTTTGTTCTGTAATGAGACCCCTCGTGATTTTGAGAGAGGGGGTGTTTAGCTTCATGGTGAGAGCCCCTTGGATTTTGGAAAAGGGGATGTTTTTATTGTTGGAAGACTCACCCTCAAAAGTGAGTAAAATTGATTTATGGCAGGGTAAGTTGTCTGATGAGTGATAAAGTCTGACGAAGAGGGCCACATTTGTTTGGAATGTTTGAGAAAGTCGCAATGAGTGTAGGGCGAGAGATGTCTCAGGATGGGTGGCTGCTGACTCTGATAAAGTTAGGGGTCACGGTCTGGTGGACCTAGCGGTGATTTTGTTTGAGAGCGTGCGAAGGATGTCATGCCTATTGTGGAAGGGCTGGTAAATGCCTTCAGACCCCTGCGTGATCGCGTAGTGGGCTTGTGTTTCTGTTTTGCGACGCTCCGTCTAACCACTTGTGCTAGTTCTGGGACATATTGAGGAATGTCAAACTAAACAGTAAAGATTAGTACCTCTAGGGTGTAACCCCATTGGATGGCTGCTAGCCGGCGCAACCTAGATGCGGGACCTCGAGGTAAGAGTTTACGGGGAGCTGCCCGCCCCAGGGAAATTACTCCGTGGGATAGTGAAGATTGAGATTATTTGGGAAATCCTGATTGAATGCTTATCAGGAGAAAACCTATCGTTGCGTAACCAACGAGGGTACTGCCGTTAGATAACAATGCGGTGGGCCGTAGTCCTGGTCCGATCAGTCAGGCTATGGTGGGCCAAGATGGAGACCTAGCCTTTCTGTACTAGACTGCAGAAAGAGTTGAGTGGAAATTAAGTATACAAATATACGTATGTGTATTTGATTGCGAGAGACTTTATGAGAAGGAAGGCGAGAGTGCCTTCAAAGTTCTCGGTTAGGGCCCACGTCCCTAGTTTTGGCCAGGACTAGCGACACCCAACGAGAAGCCGAAGGTTGTCTAGGACCGGGGAGAGGACAATTGGGAAGGTCTTTGGAACTTATGCTGTCAGTTTCCTAACGTCTGGGCGGTGAGAGGCCCAGGTTAGAAACCTGACAGCATATAGTTGTGGAGGCATGGTTTGATGGAGGTCTCTACCCTGTGTTTGTCGGCTAATCGGATTGGCTCCTTTTTCGTCAGCATTTGGAGTGTGGATGGATTTATAGCTTTCTGATTTGGCAGAGCGACGGGGACGTCGCTTAATATGGTCCGGTAAGCTGTCGGCGCGAATACCCTTACAAGGGTATCCGCCCTGGTTTTTGCAAGCGACAGAAAATAGTGTGGTTTAAAGTTAAGTATACCGCGCTGGGCGCGGCTGCGTCTGACACTTACGTTGACAGGATGGTTGACTAGGGTAAAGAGTGTGTGGGCGCGCAGTGTTAAGGCGCGCATGATTTATCTCCTGATGTTGATTACGAAATCAGCACGGGTGCCGATTTGTTTATTTTTATTTTTTATCGTTAAATTTTTGTTTTTGGTTACTCTTGATTAAACTAGGATTTAGGGGATGCTTTCTTTTTATGGTTACGTTTGACCGAGTCGAGCGCGCGTGTGGAGAACGACCCAGACGACGGCATCGGCAACGACGGCGCGACTTCGTGTGGTAAGCGGGGTGTCGTAGGATGGCGCGCGGGGCGATTATAGCACGGTATAAGCAAGCCGGTGCTGGCACTGGGGGTCGTGTAGCCGGTTTGTTGGCCCAAAGCGCCGCGCCGCACTGCCTTATATGGTATTCTGCGGGTATGGGTCGCACGTTTGGGCTCAGCCTATAGGTTATGATATTGGACTTATGACGCGGAGGTTTAAGGATCGATGCCAACGGACGACAGCGCGAGGCCAGCGGAGCAGCGTGGAGCCAAACCAGAGAGGTTGAGGGACCGACGGTTTTGTTAGTGGGCGCGGCGGTCAGCCCGATCCGCGGGGCTGGCGAGGTGCCAGCAGCCCCTCAGCTCCCCGACGTTTGCTGTTATTTTATTTTATGTCCTTTTTGTTTATTGCTCTTGGTCCCTTTGTTACCGCGGCCCGTTTTGGGGCGCGAGACTGCGGTAGGAGCGCGTGGAGGGGGCATTGTATTCGCGGGCGGCCTGAGGTTCGGCCACGAACTATTGTCGCAATCACGCCAAAGCTACCCCCTTGTAGTATTGTGGGGAACCTCGTAGCAGCCACGTTCGTGCCCTCTGTGGTTTGCAACTCTAGTGTGACCGGGCGGGGTACTATTTTAGCAAACGTGGGGGAGAAAACTTTGCAGGGTTGCTAGATTGCCACCGCCGTGTGGGTCCGCCCAGCCGGAGTCGGGTACTTACCGGCCAGGGCGAAGCAGACTGAGGGGGCGGATAGGGGTAAGTGAAAGAGGGACGAACGAACCAGGACGCGAACGCGCGCAGGGAGCATGCATGCCAGGAAAGGACCGAGTGGCTTTTGGAGGAGCCGCGGGGCATTGCCTCTGACAAGTCCTTCGAGACATCCGTTAAACTTGGAACGATACAGGGAAGATTAGTATGGTCCCTGACACGCATAAATTGGGGACAGCCTGAGTTTTTCGTCGTTGTTGTTGTTACCTTCCGTTGTGCGCTGCGGTCGCACTGATGAGGGACAGCGATCGGTGGAGAGCGGTGAGCGTTGTGGAGCAGAGCGAGGCCGCGAGGGGATTCGTCGGGAGTAGAATCATCGCCGCACCGAGTCAGGCAAACGCGTGCCGAGCTCGGGTATAGGGGCGTAGGACAGTTTGAGTCGGCCAACAGTTGGTTATTCTGAAGTTCTCCCTCAGGGTGCGTGAGGTGGGTAGGAAGGACGAGCTGCGCCAGGCCCCAGCGGGGAGCACGCGCGGAGCAAACGGGAGTGCGTGGCTGAAGTGAGGGAGAGATGAACCTGGGCGGAAAACCGCGCCGGGTGCATTTCGAGGAGTGGAAGGTGGAAAGACAGGCTTGGGCGCAGCAAGGAGAGGAACGGCGGGTGTGGGGGCTGTGGAACGCAGCAAAGTGCAGGCAGCGAGGCAACAGGGAAGCCGGGTTACTGGTAGCGCAAGGGAGGAAAGGAAATAAAGGGAGTGAACCCGGACAGAGAATGGCGTCGGGTGCATGTAAATAAGAGGAGGGACGACGGAGAAGGAAATGAGTTAGTATCTGCTCATATAAAAGGCGATGTCGGTGGGAGAACTTGCTTACCGGGGGTTTTGGGGTAGGCGACATCACATATAGCGTTAGTTTTAGGAATGAGTTAGCAAAACAGAGGTTAGTGAAGAAGAGGTGCGTGGAGCTATGGCGGGAGTGGTGAAGGGAAAAGGGGGAAAGCGAGTATCTCGCTCGTTTTCGAACGGAATCGAGCAAGGGAAGGACCGTCTCGAGGGTTTTAAGGTCGGGCGAGCATGATAGCGGTGTCAGTTTTAGAAGTGACTGAGTAGAATTAGTGTTAGAAAAGGAAAGACCTGCGCGGGAGATGGCGGACTCGGAGACGAGGAATGGAGGAGTAAGATTTCGCTCGATCCGTGAGGCAATCGAGCGAAAGAGGGACTCCGAGTCAGGAAGAGGTTTTCAAGGTGGGCGGTTCTGGATTTATAGTTAGTTTAAGTATTGGATTAGTAAATTAGAAGTTAGTAAGAAAATGGGTTGCGCCAAGGGGAAGGCCTTAAAAGGGTGATGAATCCGTCCGCGTTTCAGCGGAAGATTCATTCCCATTTTTTTTTCGTTTTCTTTCTTTTCGTAGTTGTCTGTACAGGGTACGGTCCTCTACAGTAAGCGACATAGAGAGAGGGAGAGAGAGAGAGGGAGGTCACCTATCTGGTCGGCCACCTACCTGGTCGGGTTGTGCCTGTAGGAAGACGGGCGCTGCAGGGGGGGCAGCACCGGTGGAAGGATGTTCTCATGGTCCGGCGGTAGATCCGGTTCGGGTGTGTTATCGAAAGGGGGCGGGCAGCTACAGATTGGAGGATTACCCGTTGACCAACACATTACTACCCGCCCACCAATGAAAGAAGTCATTATTCACCTGTCAACTGGTCGGAGCGAGCGGGGACGGGTAGTTCCCGGCCAAAGTGAGAGGGGGCAAGCCCCTCGCTGCCAAAACTAGCGGTGGGACTGTCTGCGGGTGTATCGCCCGAGCGGCGACAACCGTTGGGAGCAGAATTGTGCTGAACGTAGACTGTGTTGGTTGCAGTTGCTGATGGCTCACTCAAGTTCTACACGCCCCAGCCGGCTGAATGAACGGTAGGGGCAACAGGCTGGGCTGGTGGCCAAGGCATGGCCCGTCCTAGCAATATGGATGCGAGACAACCAGAAAGAATACCCGCAGAACAACGGGAGGACCGGGAGGTGCGTGTGCTAGGAAGAAAGAGAGGGCGTACCTAGTGAGATGGTAAAGTTGTCGTTGGCCGATGCATTATGGGCCAACGAGCACAATGTTGTGGTTTGAAGATTCGCCAGGAGAGTCTGATCCAGCGGGTTGACGTCGATTTGACTGGTCGCTTGGAGTGGTGATCAGGCTCCACAAGGGAAGTTGTTGTTGGTGATTGACACGGCGGTCGGAGGCATACGGCTGCGACTGTTGCTGCTGTAACCACTGCTGAGTGTGAGCGGACTGTGCACCGCTGCTGCAGTTATTGACCAGGCACAGGTTGTTGTTGCGTAATACTACTGGTTGCCGCTGTGTACTATTGTTGTTGTCAAGGCTGACAGTGCACGAGCCATCGCCTACAGACTGGTTGCTGGATGTTGTGCACTTGCTGGCCAACGAGGCTGCTGCGTGTTGCGGTTGTTGCTGGCCACACGGGCTGTTGGCGCATTGTTGACTAGAGGAGTGAAAACTGCAAAGGGTGCAGGAGCTCGACTGTGTTTTCAGGTGGTGGGAGACGACGGTAGGCGGCGAGGTTCTATAGGGAAGGGCCGCTACTAAGGATTGAAGGGTCGCCGGGAGGATTGGGTTCGGTGGTTTGACTTCAAAGTTGGTCAGGCGGGTACGTTGGCCGCCATTGCGGGGCCCTCAGGTGCTGAAGGTACCAAGGCCCTCTCCTGCGAGTCTGAGAGCACCCTCCTTGGATCTGAGAGTCTGAAGCCTTCTCTCTCTATCTTTCTTACTCTAAGTCTAGTCCCTTGGTTCTGAGTTGAAGGTGGCAGGCGGGATTGCAACCCGTAATCCGCGTCAAGGCCTTTGTGGGAGGTTGGCCCCACCGATTGTGGGAACTCTGCCGGGACTCAGGAGGAGTCCTGAAGGCAGGGAATTATACGGTAATCCTACTCTTTCCCTTTATACACCTGGATTATACCCCCTACCTTTACACCTTTCTACGTTTGGCTGGTTATGTTGTATGTCCCATGTACTTTGACTTTGGTTT